AAGGTGAATGCTAGAAGCAAATGTGGAAGAAAATTTTAAAAAAACATATGAGCATGGAAGTAAAGAAAATATCAAACACCCTGACTAAAAGCTGAGAATTTCTACCAAATATTCATGACCATCAAACTGGGTGTGAGCTTAGATTCTAAGGAATTTCCTGTAACCAGCAAATATACATAATATTCTGCAGTGAACATATTCATTCTCTACGTTTAGATACATCGGCACCAAACGATACTGCGGATGCATGAGAAGATAGGTGTTAAAACTACTATTTAATTTGCTGCTATAAAATCCACCAACAAATCAAACTAGAATACTGAAAAAATATGCAAAATCAAGCGCTTACGATTGCATGTGCCAATATAGTACCTAATTTTTACTTATGTATAACTATTACTCATTACTTCTATTTTACTTATGTACATGAGTGTAAAATATTTTTAGTAACAAGTTCTGCTCGATTACAATGATGCAAAATATAACAATCATATTAAAAAGCACTATAAATCCCACCCTGGGGGGAAGAGGATTTTAAACCTGAAATGCATTAATGTAACTAAAAATTAAGTTCAATATATATTTATCATAAATGATGTACAAAACAGTACATCTGTAACTATGTTACATGATGATCATAGAAACAAGATATGCTAACTAATACAAAAATATTCTTACAGAGTTTTGATATTTTTCAAGTAACAACATTTTTTTGTTGCTGCTATTGTTTAATTTATTATACTTCCTTATGTCTTTATTTTTGATGAGGAAAGTATGGTGGATAACAAGTAAATAATAATGTTATCTACTACATTACTAGCAGCCAGTTCCATTTATCATGAAAGATAGCAACTTTAATATATTTTCCTTCACATATATGCTATTACACTATTTGATGCTAATAATTTTTTAGAATAAATAATAAACTGTCAAGTCCTAAAGCAAATGCTCAGCTGATAACATAATTGGACTCTGCTACAACAAACTTCAAAGGACTGAAAGTTTGATATTCACTATCCAATCTAATGATAAAGAGAAAAAATGGAGGCATGTATATGCTTACATAATTGTGTTACATATGTTGAACATAGGATTCACTTCAATTTATAATTTTAATTAAATCTTGTATAAAGGAAACATTATCCTTAATCCCCCCTTTTGTGGAATGATACATAAATGTACGATCCTGTTGTATACAACAAAGAAGTACATTCAGCTATGATACAAATAAAATTGAATAAATAAGTAAAACAAGTCTATATGATTTGCAAAACTGCCAAAAATTATTTCCATAAAGAAATATTAAAAATGATTAAACATTATTTTAATATTTAAGCAGAGAGTACTGTTCTGTTATTGGGATCAGATTAAGAAATGTATGAATGTATATGTATGTATGTGCATGCATGTGTATATGTATACACACACACACATTCATGCTTGCAATATATACTTGCACACATGCATACATACATACATTTCTGAATCCAGTCCTGATAACAGAACAGTACGAAGCAGAGTTCGATGTGAAAAAATATACTCTATTCTAGAACAGCTATGTACATCTTCAATATTTGTAATAAATTCCTTAAACTATTGATAAATAGATGAATGATTCAAATGGATAAATTCAAATATTGCTATCAGACACTGAAATTTGCCTTTTATGTTTTCAATTGAGCAAATGATAACATATTTATTTATTTAGTATATTTAAGCTTCAAATGTGAGTAAACATCTTAAAATCTAATTTATTTCATCTTTACAACAAACAACACTGAAATTTGCCTTTTATGTTTTCAATTGAGCAAATGATAACATATTTATTTATTTAGTATATTTAAGCTTTAAATGTGATTAAACATCTTAAAATCTAATTTATTTCATCTTTACAACAAAACTGATATTTTTTTTAAACCAATGATCCACTTTCTTTATTCTCAATAAGAATATGCAATGTTTCATTATTGATAAGCAATTATTACAACATCAATATTAAAAGTTGCATCAGAACTGTATTCAAAACTCCCAAATGATCCAAATTATCATGTAGCCTATGTCAAAACAATGATTTATTATATTAATATTAAAACAAGTTGCCATTACACTTAAATATTACAGACTGACTATCTTAGAAAATTTGAAATCAATAACAATTAAAAAAATATTATAATCAGTAAATGCTACTAGTGATATTATGATTACAATCATCTTTTCCAGAAAAAGTTTTAGTCTTACATTCCTGTTTTCATCCTAATTTTTGATTGAAAAACATACACAGTAAAATACTGCTCCTCATACATATAATTCTTACTGAATGCATTTATAAGCCATATTTATTTTTAGAGGTCAGTAAATGTCTTGTCCATTTAATGTTTTTTAAATTTACACAGCTTTCTTACAGCAAATAAACATATATGCCTGTTTAAGAAATCGAGAGTTTAAATTAAGACATAACTGTAGTTTCTTTTCTCTTAAAACAAAACGTGTAAAAGTGTAGTAAACCTATAATTTGGATAATTCTTCTTACAATTTTGAAATGTTTTATATTTCTAAAATTAAAATATCAATTACAACAACAGAAACTGATGTAATATTTTACTAAAGTTCTAAAAAGACTCACAAAAATTAGCATAGCATGATATCTTGATTATCTTATCAAGATTTAATTTTTACTCATTGATTGATTATCTTATCAAGATTTAATTTACATAAGATTTAATTTTACTCATTGCCAAAATACTTTTCTGAAAATTAAAAGGTCTATATTAATTCTCTAAAAAAACCTTGAAAACACAAAAATTTACTTTGGCCAATATGTGACAGGTTTTGGTTTAGCTGTTACTGAAAACTTATAGGTGGTTTGTTCCATGTTTGTTATTCCCAAATATTAAACTTCAACACAAATTTTTCACAGTTTCGCTCCTGTCATTTTCCAAGAACATTCTTTACAAAAACATGCCCGCTACCGCTGACATAGTTTTATAAGGAAGCGAATAATACCACAACCTACTTAAAAATAAATTATATAGTTCAAATAAGTTATAGGTATATTACATTATTATTGGTTCCATCAAAACATTTCTGGGTAAATATATTAATACAAAACTGATGAACTTATCACTGCATGTAAACAGAACATATTTATTTTTAACAAAAATGCCTTAATGAATTTTTTTTTTCTTTTTGAAAACAGCTTGAAGAAAATGTCTGTGATTTCAATTCCAGTATCTTGAATTTTGATATCAAAAAACAAAAGCATGACATAGCAATATAATTTGAAAGAAATGCAATTTTTTTTTTTAAATCAAATGGAAATAACATGCAGGGTTAATTTCAAAAATACTGTACCTCAAAAATATTATTAATTTATTTATGTTCAAAATATGTTTTGTTTTAATACTTATAATTTTAATGCAATGAAAATATTATTTTGTACTTTAAAAAAAATTTACCAATTAATTACAATAACAGAAATTCTTCTGTCATAATCACTAATGCTTGCATCACAAAAAATTACTAAAATTTATTTCCCCTATTAGCTTACTTAGTTTAACAATTTATTATTGTGATGTACAGACTAAATTGAGTTCTTCACTCAAATATAAGAAAGTAGTCTTCTTTTTATTCATAATATGCAAAATAAATCCTAACTAGCTTTTAATTCTCTGCATAAAATTTTTTAAAATAACTATCTATTGCTCATTTTAAATACACAAGTTTCTTAACTTCTTTAAAATATAACAAATTCTTTCTTTTTTTTTTTTTGAGGGGGAGGGTGGTTACTGTTTTAAATATTGCTTTTTAAATAAAATTATAAAATAAAATTTTCTGAATATGTGGAATTCCAATCTCTAATATTATTATGATTTGCTTTAAAATATGGTCTTTTATCAGAGTTCCTTCTTTAATCTCCCCTTTTTCAAGATAACACAGAAAACTGAAAATGTTAAATCAGAATATACTAAAATGGCCTATAATATGCAGTTTCACCTTTAAATTCTAAATTCAGACATCTTTGTTCTGAATAAATTTAGAAAGATTACATCCAAAATTCAAATAGCTTCAATAAGTACTTTTATTTTTGAGAAAACTGTTGTTCAAATTCCTTTCCAGTTTAAAATGTTTATTACTGCAATCCTACTTCTTATTTCCAGTAAAATTACTATTCAGGTATCTTAATATACATAATTTCTTACATAGCCTAATTACATTATTTTTATGAATAATGGTTCTCATTTCCAACTGTTCAGAAATTCTAATATTAAATATGTATCCTCCTACTCTCTCAGAAAATTTTTTGTAAACACTTACCAAACTCAAGTAAAAAATGTCTTATTCTATAAATGCATCTAGTATTTGTGTTTCAGATTGACATTAATATATTTTTCTATAATCTACTGGTAAAACCACCCAAAATAAATAATTCAATTTACTGCGGCAAGAAAATTCTCTTCTGACTACCATAAAACTAAGTAAACTATATGTTAGCATATTCATTTCCTCATATGTGCTTCAGAATTGATGCCAGTATTGTACTCCAAACTCTTAATGTAATACCGCCTAAATTAAATAAAAATTTATTGATATAATTATTTGCCTCCAATTTTTTCTTCCTTCTCCAGGTCATTTTCTGCAGATCCCTATGGTACATATGCCATTTCATGCTTTTTTCGATAGCATAAATATATGCCTCTTAAATGTTTTTCTAAATTTGCAGACAGTTTAAATTATGAATTAATAAACAGCAGTTTAGGATGCAATAATGGGAAAATAGGCTAAAATCTAAATTATAAACAGCATTCCAAGAAAATCCAACAGCTTTTTTAACACCAAAACAACTTACATTTAATGAACCATTTTTCTACCCAATGATAGAAAAAAACTGTCCTTTTAGCAGACTGGTAGCTCTAGAATTAATCAACTATAAATTAAATTTTTAATTATTTAAATTGTATTGAGTTACCCCAAAATCCAAGTAACATAGAAATACAACCTACCTCAGATATTAGTTATCCAAAATGTTCTTCAGACACTGATATATTAATAACACAATTATCCAGTAATCCAAGAAAATCACAACACACAACACAAAGATTATGAGATAAGCTCCATTGTTATGAAAAGTAATCCATGTGATATGCACAATAACACTTTATCCATTAATAATCCAAATCTGTTACTATCACTAGTAATCCATGGAGATGAACACTCTCTAATATATTGGAAGTACAACACTAAATTATCTATATCCATCAACAAATGCAAACTTTAGTCTGTCATATAAAGACAGTACACTTCAGCACATTTAAATAACATTCTTCAAAATATGGATATCCACACACATCACGTATATGTCACAACATCAAACTGCAAAATCCTTATTTTTGCAACAGCAGAGCATTTTACCTACAATAAGAAAAAAAAAAAAAAAAAAAATAAAAAAAAAAAAAAAAAAAAAAAAAAAAAAAAAGAAAAAAGAAAAAAGTATTGTAATTAATATTTGTGCAATAAAATATACATTAAACATAAAAAATAAAACATAACAACAAAATTTATGGATTATGTCCAGAAATTAAAATGAAACAGCAGAGAATCAAGTAATTACATAATATAATTTATGAATTATATCCAGAAAGTAAAAAAAAAAATGCAGAAATTCAAGGATAAATTATAGTAATATTAAAGAAAATTAAATTTTGAATTAAAGCATATTTATTTTTATATGTTTGCTAACAATCTAATTGTAGAATATTCACTGATATCTTCATGGAAACAACCACATTTATTGGACAACAACATACACGAACTGCAGAAATAGTTACCTAAGAACTAAACTGCAATGATCAGGCATAATTCCATATTTTCGATCGACGAAAAAATGGTTTACCGGAATAACATAAAAAAGAATTAAAAGAGTAACCATTTACCAAATGGTTTAAACACAGAAATATATTCTACGACTGGTAGGAAGAATATAATGAGAACTATATAGCAAATAGCAGGCATCATTCCATATTTTCGATCGTAGAATAAAAGTTTCCCGAAATAAATATAAAAAAGTATTAAAAGTAACCATTTATCAAATGGTTTAAAAACGGAAATACATTCTGTTTCTGGTAAGGAGAATATACCGAGAACTGTATACCAAATATTAGGGTTGTAGCAAAATATTAAGGTTGAAAATAGCAATGCTTTAAATAATATTTATAAATAAATAACATTTTTAATACCTGCCATCACGATGATTCACATAAGCGCGCACTTGACATTCATTAGGCCTAAGCGCGATTCCACACCTGACCGTTTCCATATTCCAAACGCACTACAAGCTACGAATCCCTCCATACTGCTGCAATGGCTCTGGCCATCGTTGCTTCGAAATGCTTAGGATCCATTCCCGAGGTTCCTGTGGAGAAAATCAGCGCAGGCCGACAGCGGAACACCAACACGGCGATCCTCGTCGAACTCAACCAACGTTGGAAAATTTCACCAGCATACCCAAGGTTTGACGTCGCCAAAGGGCCAACTGCCTCGCCTGGTTGGTTGGCAGAGTCGGTCGATCGCGTTGCTCCTCCCACACCCGGCGGCAAAACACGATCCACAGGGCGCATGCCCTTACGACCCGCCTATTATGCCGTCCCCCCCTTCCAGCTCTTTCGCTTCATGCTGACGTTCAGACGGGGACAATGCGCCGCCAATAGCAGCCTCCACAGCCTAAACAACTTTAACGTTTATAGAAAAAGGGACGAGCCCCATATTTATAATACTCCCATTCCTACTTTACCTTCTCGCCAAGTCACATCCGCATTTGTTTTAACATTCTACTACGATTTATTTACATTAAATTATATAGCAAGATTATTTAACGTCCATACGTAAAACTTTATATCATTATTATCTTTAAATTATATTTTGACATGGAGATAACACCTTTGTTAAAACCACAAAAATTAATTTTTTTTTTTAAAAATTGATACCTAAAATAATATTTTTTAGAAAGAGTAAAAAATCTGCGACAGAATTACATGTTATAGAATCAACAGTGTTAATCCCAAAACCTTTTCGTATAAATATTAACATAAAATAAATAAACTTGAAAAAAATCATTATATGCTTGATATAATGAAAATTCAAATTTATTATTACTAATTCTAAATGAATGAAACCTTTTTACTTAATCAATAAATAAATCATAATTAAGCATAATCAATAATATAAAAGAATGCAATCAAACACACTATTTCAAAACGTAAATAAGATAAAAACACATTCGAAATTTTTACAAGAGTATTTATAGCTTTTTTATATTATTGTTCTAAAATAACAGGCAGCTATTTACTCATGAATTGTAATGACCGAAAATATTTCTTCCTGTAAAAACAGTCGATTAATATAATTTTAAGACAGCCACATACAGATCTTAATAAAGAATATATTGGTAATTCAACCTGATTTATTACAGTGTTAATTTAAAGGAATGCTAGTTTTAATGAAAAACTCAGGTTTGGGATAGAACTCAATTTCAGTTCTATCCCAAACCTGTTAATTAATTATCTATACCTGTTAATTAATTATTACAAGCATTACAGTCTTATCTTGTAATAATTATATGCCTGCATTATAAAATTTACTCATTTACTGATATAATTATTCCACTGAAAAAGTAATAATAAATTAAGCTGAAATTCAAAAAATAAATTATGCTTAAAATCAAAGTGGCTGAAAAGCAAAATGCGATCATAAATTTATGTCTGAATAAAGACCTCGAGTTTTAATGATTTAATATGATGTCGACCCCTCAAGAGATCCCAGCAGTAACAGCTGCTTCTGATGTTTTCGGAGAACAGTGACTGCAGCAGAGAGATGGGGAGGGTGGAGAGTCATGAGAGCTTACCGATAGAGCGAACGTAGCAATCAGAAGGAGGGAGAAGGAGGGAGAAAATAGAAAGAAAGAACTAGAAAAGGATGAGAGGCTGAAGATGAAAATCCTCCTCCGACCACCAACAAACAGACAGACGAACAGACCGAACACAGCACGTGCTTCTTCAACCTGCTACTCGTGACGTCAGAGGCTGGAATGCCGCACGCAGAAACGGGTCGCTTCCATTTCACCAGCTGAGGGGAGGTAGCATGTGTATTTATTTATTTTTTCTTTTTTTTTTCTCTCTCTCTGTTCCTCTCAGAAGCGGGGAGAACTTCAAAGCACCCAACTTTCG